CCTATTTCTTCTCTGCTGATTCGAGATAGCTTGTCGTTCATGCTATGTATTGGCTTGTACTCCAGCTTTACTACGAGTACCCGCTCACGTCCTTTGTCCACATACTATCGAGTCTACAGCCAATTTAATATTCCTCACTGATCTGCGCTGAAATTAGCCAGATTCCTCAGCTTCGAGTCATTCAGTTTGCACAGTTTCATGGTATGCTGCAGTAGTTGTAGCAGTCCACTGCGTCATCCTTCTAACTGAAGACGGAGATCTCAGTGCTTGCTCTCCAGGCATCCACTTTCCCCAATTACGGTGTTGAGGAATTGGGTGAGCCTTTTTCCCATACTCCCCGATAGTTTTCCATGCCTCGCACCTCATTTGGACCTACCGCCTTCACTTTCCTTTTCCGTATTAATTGTCGAATGTCGTTCTCGGTGCACACTGTGATGGAGTCAGCCGTTTGGGGGAAGCCGCATTCATACGACCTCGAAATATTAGGTTGGCAAGATTGAAAGTCGCTTTCGTTTGCTTTCTCAGCCTAAACACAATCTTTTAGGATGGGAGACCGATGGGAAGATGACTGATCAGAAAACGTCTTCTGAGCGTATATATTCAAGCAAGGAAAAACGGCCAACGAATCTCACTCATTGTGTGCAAAACATTGAGCAGTAACACTTAGTCTCTGATGCACTTTCAGCTATGGTTTCAGCTCTTCCAAGACTGAGGTAAAGGACCTGGCGACGAAGATCGTGGATTTTGACCTCTAGCTCTAGATGGAGAAATAAAGAAAGCCAACGAATTGAGTCCTCGACAAACCGCACAAAACTTGCATGGAGATTCAGTCAACAGAAAAATTTAAAAGTTCCTACGTGCGACTGTTAAGGCCTTTCAGGATAGAAAATGGGTTCGGCCTATTCTGAGCGACGCGAGCAAGCAGTACTGGTTGCCAATACTGGAACTTCGCTCCATAACTTCCAAGAGGAAGGTTCTTGACTTCATGTTGACCGCATTTTACAAAGCGATGTTACTCAATAACAACGCGAGAAGGTGACGGTGTGTTTCAGCTTCATTTGTCCAAGGCCTTCTAAAACTACTGTCGTTTTTGCGACAGCGTCCCTAACAACAGTGTCATTCTCAACGAGGTATTAAGGGCGAGGGAGCGGGCGGTAGATGAGGAGGTGCCTTTGCAGCGCGTGTGCACATGTGGCCCCTTCCTTGCGGAGATGCACTTTCATTCTTTGTACTGCTTTCAAATACCTCCTTCTCATGAAGGTAGAACAATGCAGCGAATGAACCTGCAAAGAATATTTCAATCATGTTTCCTCACATATCTTCGTTTTCTGCTGCGCTACACCCTCTTACTCCTATCTGCACCACGATGCCACTGATGTTACTGACCCCCACAAGTACGACCCCCTATAACCCAGCCAAGTACGACCCCCTGTCGGGATTTCCTCGACCGATATTCACTGTGAGTGGTACTCGTTTCACAGGTTTTGGTGCTTCTATTCCATGGTTTCAGTTTTCATCCCACCTCTACTTCCATTTTCAAGAGCAATAACCACGGCTAAGTAATAGCGGAATGTGCCTCAGTAGCGTAGCGGCCGCAATGACTGAGGCATTTCCTTTCATTTATTGTTGCAATCCCATCTTCCTCGGCCCTTCAGCTTCCCATTTCAATGACTAATGACTTTTCTCATTTCACATCAGAACGTTTTTTCCTCTGTTACAGAATTTTTATACCAGATTGGTCCCCCGGCAACCACCGGGACCTCCTTACCTGCGTAAGCTTTACTCCTTCCAATGTGCTCCCATCCACTGGTGACATGGACACCTCGTGGAGGTGGCACGCATGCACAAAAAAGTGTCTTATATAGTAGAAGGCATTACCGTAATCGTGACATGACCTTAGAATGATATTAATTGGACCTCAGGTCTTTTGGCGGTTAGCTCCCCTCGCCCTTCTCCATCTTATCCTATTCCCTCTACTGCTCTCCAGCTGCTATTGCAGCATCATGTGGAATGAATGAGACCATGCTCAGTAGGTGTTTATATAGCCGTTGGGGTGTTATCACATTGATAGCACTGCAAAACATTGATTGCTAAAGTCATAGTTACTCGATTTTGTTAACGGTCTGTTTACTTCACGAGTTTCCCTACCACTTCATTTTGCGGACGGACACACATACATACATACATACACACACATACAGACATACAAACCGACACACAAAGTTAGCGCTTTATAAAATAGAAGGATTGCTTCCATACAGAATTCTCCTGGCTCAACCTTTGAAAGAAAATTCCATTCGATACACACAAGCACGAAACCACTTCGCTGAGTTCCAATAAATCTGGGATGTTACAATTTTTGTAATCTGGAATAATTAAAAAGAGCTCTCTTGTCTCATTCCACACAGAGATTCGTTTTATCGCGTGACCAGACGGGTGGGCGGAGTGACGTGCGGACATCACAGGCACGAGCTGTGCGCATCTACTGTTCCTCATTACTTGCACAATACTGCCGTTGGAAGGTGTCTTCATCGTCATTTCCGGTAATATCCCATCATCACAGATGCAACCTTATGGGTAATTTTGGAGAGGCTCCAGTCGCAGTTTAAGAAGTCGGGAAATCGTTGTTGATAATCCTTCGAGAACATTAATTTTCTACTTCACTTCCTTTGTTTTTCCTAGCAACGCTGATGGGCTCTAACATGTCCCTAAGCAGCGTCAGCTCACTCAACTGGAGTATAAAAGATGATAGTAAGTAGGAATTGTCCTGCTGTGCTTCTGTCCACCCAGCTGTCTTCATCCGTATATAATTGCGCTTTTCGGAACACATCCATTTTAGGCGCTGAGGGCGTTAGACGTGGGGGGGAGACATTCAGGACAGGGTCGATGGTAGGAGACACTAGGCCTAAGCTCAGGAGAGGTGACAAACGCTAATTAGAATGCAAACTGCTCACATCCTCCCCGGAATCCTTTCCCTTCCCTAAGGCCTACAAGGAAGGTCGTTCAGGGTGTGCCAAGCTTTTTCAAACGGTCTTTTGCATGATATAGAGGCACATGCGGGAACCACAGAACCATGGTTAATTTTTCCTGAACGGCCCTCTGAATACCAGAAAAGGGGGTCCCTAGTCACACCTTTTCACCAGTTTTTCAATCAAAGTCTATTTGTAAGGGTTACTGACGGTCCTAATCATGAATATGGTACTAATTATTTCATGCTAACTGCGCGAATTTTGAAACGTCAACTCGAAATGCAAAAATTTGTCACCACGAGGAATCGAACTAGGGACCCCTTTTCTGGTATTCAGAGGGCCGTTCAGGAAAAATGAACCATGCTTCTGTGGTCCCCATATGTGCCCCAATGTCATGCAAAAACCATTTTGAAAAAGCTTGGCACACCCTGAACGACCTCCCTTGTTAGAAGTCCAGAGTACTGTAATGTAAGTGCTCACTCCGGCGCAATGTCGCCCCCCGCCCCATCCATATGACGCTGTACCAATTTAGCATGGTCAGTGGCCCAGTCTCGTCCTCTCATGTGGGCCGTGATCATGGGCGGCGACTAAATAGTCATGGATGTTGCATATGCTCCTTATACATCTATATAGTTGTGGTCATTACTGTACTATTTTAATTTCATGAGATGCTCGACGCCTTCCCAGAGATTTCAGTACTATGCATTTCAAAACTTTATAAATGTATTATTTTAGAGATTGTAGGATATTATATCGTGCAGAGTTTTTTGACTATCTCTTAACCATTTTCGTACTGAACAACTCCTGCTTGGATCTGCAAACATTAAACGCTTCTTATAACAGGAATCAAACATGCACAATTACAGCTTTCTACTGAACCGTATGCGTCTACGTGAAGGCATACAAAACCTTGGAAATTTTAATGTTTCGTTTGTAACTTTATTTGGAATGTGCCTTGCTTTCGATTTTCAATAGAATCTTGGAGTCATTTCAAAGAATTTGAGAATAGATCCTCCATGTCTGCCTTTCTTGAAATCTGGGCAAGTTGATTCTTGAACAGTTGTTTATTTCTTGTGTGCCACACAAAGGTTTTGTGCGTGGAATTCCACCGTAACAGAAACCTGTGTGGCACACAAAGAATAAAACTGTTTGAGAATAGATTCTTTTTCGGCCGTGCCTTTGTCGTGACAGCCATTGGTATCTTTGCATGGAATGGGTGACAGTAAATACGAATCACTTGTATCCATTATCATTCAGAGATGGCTTGTGGCTCTAGTTTGCAACAACAGTTTCGCGGGGTACCTAAAATAGGAAATAATTACAGTTGACAGCCACGCGCAACAGTATGGGCCGCAGGTTATAAAAAATCCGTATGCAGGCCCAGGCAGGGTCAACCGTCACGTTGGACCGACATTGGACCGACGTTGGACCGACGTTGACCGCTCTCCGCGCCGGCATTCGCACTCGCCTTGCGCGAGCCGTCTGTGTCTCCGTGCGTACGTTCACTCTCGGCATTACTCTCACACGCTAGAGAGCCATGCGTTGGACTTTGTCCAACGGACGGTTGACCCTGGGTCCCCAAGCACCACAAGCCTTTGTAGGGTACGTATCCGCTTGAAGCCATCAAGATACTTGAAGGGAAGATGCAGCTTGGGGATAGATGCGAAGATCAGTCGGGCAGGCGCCATTTGCTCTCTTGTCTGGCACGAATGTTCAAAGCAAGGACATGAAATCCTTGCTGCTTCTACGGGCTCTACTCCTCATCGAACCTTGTACTCCTTGCCATATTTTCATGTAGTGGCTCTGAGTGCTAGGTCCGTGGCCCTTTAATTGAGGAATCCTAGGCAGTTTCTCTCGCAACTTCCAAAGCCCCTATCTTGACATCTCAGCATGTCGTTGCTGTAGTTGCAGCTTATACTTCCGCCTCGAAGGCGGGACGACGAAACGGGAGTGGATTTGCTGAATTCGTGCCCCTCAAAACACATGTCCCAATCATCAAAGGCGATTCTCATATCGCAGCTTGATCCTAAACTAGGAAAAAAGGGCGGTTGCGTGGACAGCGGGAAGAGACAATACCTTATTCAATATCCTCTTCAATCCCGGAAACAAATTGCATGTGTGGCACACTCTAAGAATTGATAAAGGTGCTTAATTCCATTCCTTGCTATGTTTTCAATTTCTGTGCCAATTTTGCGTTTGTTCGTATGCGTCCTCCAAATGACCAGCTTGACTGCAGGCAAGCGCTATGACAGCAAGCTCGTCAGCTTCAGAAGCCGCAAAATGAAAACGTTTCTTTGAACACAACTCAAGCTTCCTTTTGATAACAACGGCGACCCGTTCGTTCGATGCTTTGATCACCGATTTATTTCCGGTGATTATCACTCTGATCTCCGATCTGATGGCGGGAATCGCTACTCCCGCCGTCCACTAGGGGGTCTATCTCAGACAACGTTCAGTTTTTCTAGCCCGTACTCACACTGATGACGGTTTCGGCCGCTGTTATTTTACTAGTTCTGCTCCATCTTGTTCAGGTACGTGAGCTTTACCCATTTATACTCTTCCCGATGTCTTATATTTATAAGCTAATTTTTCTTGATATGGCGGCCATGGATTGGTCACAGCGTCTAATCTTCTTCATTTATGTCTACCTGACATGGGTTTGATTGCAATCACAACCTACCAAGCATGAAAGGAATTGAGATACGGGATTACACTGTTATGAATCATCACCATTGGTATTCTTCCCAGTCATCGATGGACTGTGACCCCAATGGATGAGCACAGCGATTCCCACGTGATTAATGAAAGAGGAATTTGAGTTTGAGGAATTCGTCTAGTACCTACCCAGCAGCACCGTTCTCTGAAGCACAGCCTATACATAAAGGGGTGGCGGAAGCCTGGAAGAGGGGTGGGAGGCGGAGGGGGTGCGAGGAACTTTAAGGAACATAACTTACTTGTGTAGCTAAAGTCACTCTTTCTTCCGGGTTACGACTATAGTGCTAACTTAGTAAGGGGGAGCGCGAGGGGCAAGGGGCGTGAAAGCAAGTCGCCGCCACAGCGTGCAGCATGTTCACACTCTTTGAAGCAGACGCGGGGGGGGGGCGAGTCACTGGACCGGCGCGAGAAGCTGGATAGTGCGAGTTTAACACAGCCGCGGAGATGGTGGGGGGGGGCTGGTTTATGGCGGAAAATGCCGGCGGCCGCGGTGGCGATTGCCCCGCCCCCACCCTCCCAACTAGGATAGCGCAGATTCTCCCTTAGCTATTACGTCGACGAACATTGCCTACATTGCGCGCCGCTGTATTCAAAAATTGGCGCACCCCTCCTCTCATATTTTTTCACCGGAAACGTTGTTATCGTTCAACTGTTTGCGTTTGGAACAAAGAAAGAACCAAAAGCTGGTAAGACGGTTCTTAGCCCTTTAACTAATCGTATGTCGTGTTAGTGATTAAGGGGGCACAGTCATGTCCTTTACACAAAGTGACGGGTTACCGTACCGTCGCTCAGATGTTTGCAAGTGCAACACGGCGCCAAAGGCAAAAAGGGTGTGACTCACGCTCTGGCAGCAGCCGTGCTTTTTATTCACACCGCAGCAGCTGCACCCGGAGAGCAGAAGAAATTTGGCTTCCTTGAGACTCTACCCTGACTTTTTGGTGAAGAACGGGAACAGAGGCTCTTTTTTTGGCTGTTCGTTCATTCTTTTCAATGGAACGCTGAGTGACGAAGAAGTGCCTTCTCTTCAGTTTGCTGTCATGCGATACAAGTGTGGAGCAAAGCCGGTAGTAGTGCACGTTCCGGAATAGGTGCCCTCTTCCACTCTTTGCTAAAGTACGCGATTCACGCATTGGCTGGCGCTCTTAATTGTCACAACTCTTGTGAGCCCACAGGCCTGTTCATTGATTTCTCATCAAAAATCAGGCCATTTTGTTTACTTCTATTTCTCTGCCCATTCTTGGACGAAGACGATGAGCCGTGAGTGTCCTTCCAGAAATTTTCCATAGAAGATGTGGAGCTTTGTGTTGTTTTGTTAGTTATATACACGTCCCTCTTTCCTCTATCCGCTGTCGATAGACGTTTTTTGCAAATGGGAACGTAGTTGGTAAGTGGGCAGATTGGGAGGGGATTATTGGGATTACCGGCTCAAGTGTTGTTGGGCGAGATGGGCAGTTTGACGTGGAGAGCCAACGCATAAAGAGGCAACAAACAACAAGTTCCTATTATAAAAAAAAAACTTGGTATTGCATTCATTTACGCCTGAGCGATACTGCGCCTCTGCTCAATATTGGATCACTGGCGGCGTGCATTACTGACCGCATGCCCCTCCGTTACACCTGTAAGAGTGATCAAAGTGAGTGTCGCAATGGAGTCACACATACAGGGTAGGGAGGAATAGGAGCGGGGGCTTCGTGCTGATTTGAATATTACATCCCTGGTTGTTCGATCATTGATTATGCCCGTTGTCCATATCCCCGGCAGACACTGCCGCAAGAACGAATAGCATCAATTTCCAAAGGAGGCCGAGTGTTTATTCTTTGGAACCAGGAAAGGAAGAGGGAAAATAAGCCATTTAAAGCACTTTTATGCCCTTTTCAACGGTCCCATTTTACACAATCAGTGTGTCTAACTTCGTGAAATGTAAGCATAACTTGTGAATGGATCACTCGACCCGAAGGGCAATCCCACATTTCAAGCTTAAAGAATCTTCCACGGAATAAAGCTCGTCTTCATTAACACAGAAAACGATACCTAAACGCTTTTCCGACGGGCAGCCCTTTTGGCGCACCGTGCTACACGGCGAGCATAAAATATATATTGGACCTATATTTCCACTGAAATCACTACTTTGTCCCGTTTTGTATTTTTCATGATTAAGAGGACATATATAGTGAATATGACAGAAAACTGTTGCATAATGAAAGTGATAGGGCCATAAAAGGGAGGCAGGAATGAAAACTGCTCAAAATAAGTTGTAATGGGGGAAAAGGGAGCGGGAAGTGTCCGAAACGTTTGAGTTTAATCGCATCAGATACGACATGCAGGTAGTGTCATAAATTCTGTTGTATGAAGAGTTTTAAAATGATTTATAACTGTTTTTGCTGAGCTCAAAGTGGACATCCATTTAGTATTTAGTTATTTTAGGGACTAGTTTGAGGTTGAAGTCTAGGTTTTTTCGTACGTACGACATGAGTATCTTACATAGATATGTAACAACATAAAAGTTTTTGTCGAAAAACCTTATCCTCGGGAAAATGGTCCCTGACACCCATGGGTGTCAGGCGGTCCGGAAAGGGTTAAGGGGGGGAATCTTCCACGGAAAGAGTGATCATTTTGTCTTGTGTGTAGGATTAGTATTATCGAAACTAACGCTTATGTTCCGTTCTTTTTGCTATGCTCATGAGGCTAGGGGCCTAAGGTATCGTTTTTCTGTGGTAATGGAGGCGGAGCTTTTTCCGTGGAAGCCAGAGCTCTTGAGCGTTGATGAGTTGCTTGTACACCCTTCACATTACTCTCAGCATTTGTACTTGTGCACCTCAAAGCTGTGGCCCTTTGGTCGCGCTTCAGCCAGAGCGTGGAGTCAAATGTCCCCACGTGCTGTGCTTCTCCATTAGAAAAACAGTGTTAAAAACAAAGTCTCCATCTGCCCGCTGATGTGGTGCTTCTTCGGATCGATAGTGTTCAAACTGACACTAGTATGTAGTGATATGAACGAAGATTCCTGACTCTGATTATTCCAGGAATTTTTTACAAAAAACCAGATTTTCACACCATTTTGGGAACTTTGTGTTTACGAAACGCATCGTCTAATGGTTTTGTAGTAAATGATGCTTTAGACATTTCCATTAACATGCAATAACTCCACGCAATTTGACTGTCAAACGTCTTCCGACCCCCAACGATGTATTCCACTCGAGTGGTTGTGTGATGGACTTAAGGACTGCAAAAACGGACTGGTAAGAACCGTTCTCAACTGCTGGACTTCGCGAAGCTGAGCCTTTTTCAGGACGAATCCCATTGCTCCTACCTGCACACCTGCCCTGAAGGCGATTTCATCTGTCGTTCCGGTGACTGCGTATCCAGCCGTTTCAAATGTGATGGTGAAGTCGACTGTCCGGGAGGAGAAGACGAAAATGGCTGCGATTTTCTCTCAGTTTTCGTAAGCGCCAGCCGCTGTGAGGTGAACAACGTATTCACTTCTAAGGTTGAAAGGCACACTACCCATACGAATTACAGGAGCAATTTTTTCGCGTCCTAGTCTGATAAGCCCGCATCCGCACAGATGGGCTCACTGTCGCAACTTAGGATGAGTGAAAAGTCCTTAGGGGGAACCCTTGGAGCTTGCAACCGTAGACACATTCACACTCTTTGTTGCGCTATCTGTGTCTTGCTTTCACTATTCTCTCTTGCCTCCTGGTGTTTCCTGTAAACTCCACGGACGGCGTCTCTTAACCTGTCCCCAGGGTCTATCGATGTCCAGAAAAAGAATGGTCCAAATTTAAGTATTCCCAACAACGTCTTCTTTTTCACATGAAATTCTGTCAAACTACACCAACTGTTTCAGCATTCACTACATTTAATTCTGCGTTTCTGCTACTGTGCCTTCATATGAAGCGTAAGTTCGTAACCATTCTTAGTCTTGAAAAAACGGCTCGAGCAGCGATTACAAAGGGTTTTCGGGGGAATGTAAAGAGATATAGTGTGTGTCGAAAGTGGATGAAAAAAAGCACAGAACTGCACCAAGAGATGCAAAAGGGGACTTGTTTGGCCGCTGATCTTTGCTCAAGGACGGAAGCGGCTGAGGGGTGGTATGGACGTGTTCACCGCAGCGCGCTTGGTGGCACAGTGCCAACCCAGCTCCATTGAGTTGCTAAAGTTGTGTCACTGCTGGCAACACAGCTCGAACAAATCACCAACTAAATCCAGTGGGTGAAGCACATAAGGCATAACGGGCGGAGCTGCTCTCATTTAGTGCTGAGTAACTAGCGCACCTTCCGTCGTGAAAGCGCTCTCGCTCACCTCGCTCTTTTGGTAGCCGAGCTACTGCTGCGTGTGGCTGCAGGCGGATAGCTTTCGCCGATGCGCTCCCGTCTTTATTGGCAAGCGTTTCCATTTACGTGGCAAGAATCGTGGTAACAGGAGTTTATTCGTATACCGCAACTTACCAGATTGCTCGTGGTCGGCGAGCTCATGATCCCCATGCAGAATACCCGTGTATTCCTCAAGTAGCACCAATCCAACGAATACCTTAAAGGAAGCGATTACGATAGATCTCAAGGGGTTTAGAGGGGACGTGGGGGTCTCAATAGTACGCCAATGGCGAAAAAAGCAAAGAAATCCGTCAAAAATAAGCAAAATAGTACCCCTTTGATTGCCCTTTCATTTTCGACCATGGATGAGCGACGGTAAAGAACGACGTTGTTCGGACGTGTTAACCCCGATAGCCGCCATCATGCCAACAAGCATAGTGTTTTGATTGATAAGGCAATACGTGGGCAAGTTGGAAGATACAGCCGCTAGAAGGGAAATGATCATCCAAAATGAAAAGCCAACAGCAACAGTCCATCCAGATCATCAACAAACTAGTGGGCGTCACGTCACTGGGGGCGGGGCGTCACGCGGGTCCTGCTCAGCAACCACAGCACCTTTCGCCGTGGGAGGGCCACACATCGCTTCCTTGGCGGGTACCCCCCAGGAGGCCCATCGCGCGGCAAGAAGGCAGAGTCGGCGGACGAGTTGCAGCGCGTGGTGTGCGATGTAGGACGTGCAGTGGGACACTCTATTTAACTTGACGCGAAATCCCTATAGTACGCGCGCGACTCGTCCGCTGACTTTGCCTTCTTGCCGCGCGACGGGCCTCCTGGGGGTAACCCGTTCCTTCGCCACCATCGCTTCCTTGGCAGCCAAGTAATTGCTCCGTGTGGCGCAGGTTCTCCCCCGATGCGAAAATTCCTTATCGTAATCGCTTCCTTTAATGGTTCTCGAATCATTCTTACCCACTCGCTCACCTGTGTGGTGGCAATAGTACTGGACTATCGCAATAGATAAAAGGCATGCGAATGGGAAAAGTGGAGCAGATCCACGATTGCTTTTCTCACGGTACTACATTCTCTTTTGAGCTCTCTGACGGATGAGGTCGCAGTTTATCGCGACATTATCGAATACTTCCAAAAAGATTAATTCAAAAACAAATTATAGTGAACTGTGCCAGGAAATTGCGCTCCACTGCGATAGATAGAACTTACCCAGTAGCTCAGACTTCTTATGAGCGTTCTTTTAATTTCAGTGCTCCTCCACAAATTTCCTGCCATGATCACATGTTCCAATGTCGACATGGCCCCTGCATAGCTCGAGCGTTCATTTGTGATGGAGAGCGGTACTGCATCTAATCATTTTATCACAGCTTTTCGATGGTGAGAGTATCCTTACAGGATTGTCCTCTAGGCGAAGACGAACAAAATTGCACCAGAGCCGGGAGAAAGTCCAACGCGAAAGGATGAGACGGCTGAATGCGATCCTGGCATGGTCATGTGTGCTGACCACACCGCGTGCTTTCCAAAACACTGGATTTGTGATGGCGAGGCTGATTGTCTCGATGAAAGTGATGAGGTGAGCAGCATGCCAAATGAGGACCGTGGTTGCCGAATAATGTATACTATACGGGGGGGGCAATAAAAAAAGACATTTTGTCTCCAGACTCAAATGGATTTAATCACACTTTGCTCAGCTCAAAGCGTGTGCTCCCAACTTAGAATTGAAGAGCGCATTTCATTTCATAAGAAAATCTTCATAGTGGCCATCTACGTGGACGGCATCAGGAAACATGGTGCTCTGGTCGAGCTCAATGGGGTTCTCGACTGATCGTGTACCGTTACGACGGGTTCCGAGGGGGTTTGCATAGTTAGAGCTAATGTCCCTAGGAAACTATCCCACGTTGAAT